CAGAAAATGTCATTGACTGGCTAGGAAAATGGCGGCCAACATGCGTAATGCGACATGCGCGAGGACAGAAACTTCAAAGCTTCCGACGTAAGTGGCCCTTCTATATGGATCTTTATTCTATGCTATGGTTTGCCATTGGCTAATTGATTCAAACAGCTTAGCTCACAACATCCGCAGACGCTGAGATTTTTTCCTCGGGAGGTGAAAAATATCAAACACGATAGATATTTTCCTCAAGGCCTCGAGAAGTCAAATCCTCACGAAAACTATCCGCACACGAGAAACTTGCTGAGCTAGCTCGGCCACGCGAGGCGGTTAGCTCAGCAAGTTGCTCTCGTGTGCGGTGCGGGCTTAAAACGTGCATGGAAATATCCATTCAGTTATGTGATATTGGCTTCTTATTGAAAAGAAATTTTAACGACAGCGAAAAGACAAGTTAACATAAACTGAATGATTATTTAGAGACAACTTTTTATGAAACCAGTATTTGATGTTTTCCTTTGTATACAAATAGCGACCTATTTGTTTGTTCCGCTTGAAACTGTACCGAAAAATCTGAGTTTCTTTTGTTCACAAAGTGAAAGCTTGAAAAAAGCAATCCCTTCAACGCACACAGAAAATACACACTTGAGCCTGGTTCACATATGCCTGCGGTATGCCTGCGACTGTATCATTATGCCTCTACTTGCCGCCGAAATACCGGCAAAGTTGAACTCAAGTCAACTTTCCTGGCCTACCGCCGATGTAACTGTGGCACTGGAGGCAATAGGCGAACAAATATTCACATAATTTACGTTTTAAGCTACCACCGCGGCATCGTCGCCGGCACGTCGCAGGCATATATGTGAACCAGGCTTAAGTTTCGTGAGACAAGTTAAATTAAATGTTAAGAGATTTAGTTCCTTACAATACTCATGACACGCGATGACCTAATATCTAAACCTGTTGTACATGCATTGTTTCAAAACTACTGACTGACACAATATTCAATACCTCATTGGTTCGTCGAAAACATTTGAAAGGGCTATGGCTATGCGTAACCTATATATATGTTAGCGTTCTTTTAGTCAAGAAGAGTGTGATTATTTCTGTCGTTTCTTCAGTTCTATACGAATTTCTTCATCATATAGCAATCGTTAAATATCTATACCGTTGTGATAGCGAAAGTTAAGAAAATTGTGGATTTAATTATAGCACTATTAATAGCAGTCATTTACTTGCGTTTGTGAAAATCTGTGTATTTGGCAATGACCTAGTTTTTAGGTCGTTGACTTTACGATAAATATTTCGTTTTAATACTAATAGCGATCGATAAGCTTGTTCCGCTTGAGACAGCCAACAAAACGGAGTGCATGTTAAAACAATATGATGCTTTCTTTTGTAAATGCCTCCAATTGCAACTCTCTTTATGTGACACGGAAATTATCGACTTGGGATTAGTATTTAATAAAATGCCTGTCGAGTAGATAGCTGTATCAGGGCAACTGTTTGATCTATGTTTCGTTTAAATATCGAAAGTAAATTTCAATATTTCATTACACTATAATCTATATGTGCTTGTTCAGCTTGAGACGTACTGCCGAAGTGTGTAAAACGATATGATAATTTAACTTTATGTTTTCTTTTCTGGATAAAATTAAATTCACCTAATGCAACTATCATTTGATATTTCAACATTTCAAAATTTTATTGCTTATATATGAGATATTCTTGAGATATTTTAACAATAGGGCCATTTATACGGAACAAAATAAGACGCGACTTACATAAGACGCGACTTAAGTAAGACGCGAGTTTGTCGTATAAAAGGTACAAAATTCTTATGTAAGACGCGTCTTGGATAAGACGCGTCTTACGTAAGAACAGGACTTTTAGCTGTTCTTATCTAAGTCGCGTCTTAAATAAGAAATTTTAGACAAAAAGTCTAACGTACTACACATGCCAGAAACTTGAAACAACGTAAAATTATTAGCCTTGCATATTAAAACAAAAACAACCAAAACAACATTATAGCTATAGCAAATAAATAAGACCAAAGCCGTAAAGAACCATTTATGCGATAACTCCACTTATGTAAGTCGCGTCTTATGTAAGTCGCGACTTATTTTGTCACGTATAAATGGCCCTAATGAGTTTCGTATATATTTTGACACATATTTGAAGCTCTGTACGGATTGTACAAATAGCCGCGGCTATATGGCGATATATAGCTACAGCACAAGGCAAACTGCTAATAAAAGAGTTCAACATAGCAATTGTGCGAATATAGTCGTATGGCTATATCCGCAATACAGCACATGCATGTCAAGTGCAGAATAGTTCGTCAGCTTGCATTTTTGAATCTGAAGAGTCTCATTCATTGCGGTTTTAGGGTAGCGTATTTATATATTGCGCCATCATAGTATTGATTGTTGGATTGGTTGGAGGGTCGTGAGAGGTCTGATAAAGTGTTACTAACTGCCGACCATACTTCCCTGGTCCCCCAAATACAGCATAGACTAAGCTATCCTTGTTGTTGTCTAACTTTCGTTGCACACGCCTTTCAGTCCGTAAGTTCTCGTCTTCGGCATTATATGTGTTAGCATTCCCTCCTGTGCATAGATAAGTCAAATAACCTCGGGCTAGTTCACCACTCGGTTTCTCTTCTAACTCTGGTGCATCGTAACCCAACATACGACATTTGTATCGCACGGGTTTATCCGTTTGTATGTGATGCTCGTCTTCATAAAACACCAGATCACATGTATCCCCGTCGTAAACTGAAACTACTTTAGCGTATTTTTGTTTTCCTTTGAGGGTAAAACGTGGGACACTGTTGTTTTTCAGTTTTAGTTGTTGTTTTTCAGCTTGGTATAATGCTGGATTCATTCTTGAAGATTTTATAAAGTTGTTCACGCCGGTTGCTTTCACCTTTCGTAATGTCGAAGCGAAACGATTTGCATGCTTAAATATACAAAGGCTAGATTCATTACGTAGTATATGACGTCATTCCCAATAATCGCAGAATAATACATTACATTACATTATTATTCAGCTCACACCCCATTTGAGCATTTCAGTGAACGATTACATCAAGTATTATACTTATACTTATATGTTACTTACTTAGCTTAGACCATTTATCTTTACAACAATTGTGATATTACTTTCCTAACTGTGTTTTTCTTAACCTAATCCATCCTGCCAACTTGTCCTGTTAATTGGAGGAAACCGGAGCACCCGATTATAGTCTTATTTCTCATTCCTGCCATTTTTTTGAGGCCAGCTTTAAGAAGATTTAACATTGGATTTTAATATACCATTATACTATTAATGGCAACACTTATGCATGGAAATTTAATTTAGCTTTATTTGTTTAAATTGTTCTCTTTATAAAAGAGGTCTAATAATAGTTCAGCGGATTTGGTGTACTTATAAAGGATAAGACTGCAGGTTATATTTACCGACCGCTCAGGAACCAATCAAAATGCTGCACTTTGCAGGTGGACTCGCCTTGCGATATAATAATACAAGTTATACAAAACATTTCCTATAAAATCATAACCAACTGAGAGATTAGCCTCATCAGTGATTATTTTACGGTAGTATAGCAATGTTAGATTCTCAACCCCATATGAGAACTTTAAGTCAAATCTATCATTGCGTTATAAAATAGTAGAATCTCGCTCAATTTGAAGGGAACTCCAAACAAAACCGTTTAATATGCATGAAAGCGTTCAGAGTATTAAATACCAAGCTTATGGAAATTTAATTCAGCTAACTTTATTCGTTTAAATTGTTCTCTTTATAATAGAGGTCCAGCAATAGTTCAAATTTGGACGTCAAAGCCGTCTGCGTATTGCGGCATGAACTTTGTAGATTACAGGTTTTGAGAGCCGTTATGATGCAAATTTGTAAAATCAGGAAGACCACCACCCATGCTAAATGGCATTGACAGTCAATGGCATTGTTTTCTTCCCGGAGTCGTTATAAGTGTTTACGTGGAAATATTTACCGTTATCGGTTGTATATATTTCAACTGTGATGACAGCGAAAGTTAAGAAAATTGTGGATTATATCAGTCATTAGCTATTAGCTTGCGTTTGACAATGAGCTATTTTGTCTTGATAAGTCGGTGACTTTATGCATGATACATGTTTCGTTTTAATAGCGGTCGAAATTCCATTGTAAAACAGAACAACAGAGTGTCTAAAAACGATATGATGCTTTCTTTTGTGAATGCCTCCAATTGCAACTCTCCTTTATGTAACACAGAATTATCGACTTGGGATTAATATTTAATGAAATGCCTGTCGAGGAGGTAGCTGTATCAGGGCAACGATTTGATCTATGTTTCGCTTCAAATAGCGAAAGTAAATTTCAATATTTTATTACACTATGTGCTTGTTCAGCTTGAGACTGCCGAACTGTATAAAACGATTTGATAATTTAACTTCTTGCTTTCTTTTCTGGATAAAATTAAATTCACCTAATGGCTTTGTATAATGCAACTATCATTTGATAGTTTGTGACACAGAAATTATCGACCACAATTAAGGTTGTACACAGAGTCGTATATATATTAAACATTTCAAAATTTTATTAAAGTATCTATTCTAATAACAAATTCCTTTTACATGGATTATTATACATGAAACTGAACATTTGTTGAGATATTTTACAGTCATGAGTTTAAGTATCTTCTGACACATGTGTGAAGCTGTATTCTAATTGCACAAATAGTCCTATTTATATAATCAGGCTGTATAATAATATACTAACAATACATGTCGAATTCTATACCGTAGTTCTAGATTGTTTGCCTTATTAATAGTCTATTTCTGAAGTCCGACGATTCTGGTAGGCTATCTTTTGTAGATCTTTATATCGTTTGATTGCTCACCATATCGTTTGATTGATTCGGCTCTATAGGAGCTCGAGAGGTCTTAAGAGTATAACCAAAGCTCTGCCATATTTGTCGAATTTGCCAAACACAGCATACAGTACCAAATACTTGTTTTTGTTCAACTCATCTTAGAGATCCTTTCTATCCCATATTGTGGTATCATAGTCAAAGTTTCTTCGCGAAGCTCTGGTGCGTAGACAACCTCGTACCCAGGGCTTCTGCGCTTATTGCTCTCAGAAGCCCTGGGATAATCCAAACCGGAACACCATAGAACAGTGGTGCCCCCGGAAGCGGAAGTAAACAGTAGCTCCAGCTAAAAACGCTGACTGGGCATATTTTTACGCAAAGAGTGAGAGTGCATTATTTGTTGCAATTTATGATATATTTGGACTTGTAAAGACGTATTAAACTGCTTCTCGCGTGGCTTTTGGAATTTAAAGTCAGGAATGATCAATTTAGAGATACAATTATGCGTAAAATTAGCCCTTTGGCGAGCAAAAGAACATCTTATATCGCGACAACAGCATACCTTGTCAGCGATATACAGGGGCTATTCAATAATTAAAGTATAAATATTTATATTCGGGTACAACCTTGGTCATTTCAAAATTAACAGACTAGAAATCTTACTGGTAACATGGCTGGCTGCCGATTATCTTGGATTTGAGGGTTTTGAACAAGATATTGCAAGATTTAATTATAAATGCACAAGATATACTGTACTGTAAACATGCATCTACTTGAAGAATGTAAAATGAACAGTGATGAGTGATGTAATATAATTCTGTACTTTAATATTTGGAAAACCTTTGTGGCAAATCTTGAGAATAATGGCTTTGGGAATCAATGTTGAAAATTAAAAACTGTCAGATAGCTGCATGAACAGCATGGTTAGAAGCATACATGTCATCGGATGAAACTCCAACTTTTGTTAATTGCTGATGTTCTAGTATTGGAATGAACAGTGTTATGAGAACCAATGGTGCTGAATTAATTTGGGTTTATTATAAAATATTGTTTATCATTTAGTTCTGGCCATTAACCTTACCTATTAAGTTATACATTGTGTCTTACTTTTTATTTTACTCTGGTGTGCACCCCCCCCCCCAGGCTCTGGTCAACAGGGGTGCATGGGGGGGGGGGAGCAAAAATTATGTTTATCCTAATTCTAACCAACTTATGTTAAGGAATTCAGTTGCGTATCACTAGTTGACAATAGTGGAATAGCCAATATTAAATATTCTGAATTTTTAAATGTTTTGAGAATCTAAAAATTTTCCAGAATGTTTTCTCAGAATGCTGGAAATGCCATTTCAGAGACCCAAATTTTAAAAATTTTCCGTGGTAGTATGCCCCCGGACCACCCTAGAAATCTCGCGCCTTCGGCGCTCGTTTCGCCATTGGTTAGCACCCCCCAAAAAAACTTTCATTGAATTGCTGGATCCACCACATGATTTTATATGTTGGGATAGATCATTGGTGTTCAATGTATTATCTCATAATACACACTAGTTTGTTAACCTACTCTGTCTAATCATGCTAACACCATCATTGGCAATGGAATTGAGCAGTGATGTAGCCAGAATTTCTAATTAAGGCCTTCAAGGGGGACTGAAATCCCCAGGAGGGGCCTGCACTAGCTTGGACTCCCAAGCTATCCATGTATATTAATATAGTACAATGTAGACTTTTTAAATTCTAGTTAATAAAGTGCCATTTTGGGGGGCTATTTTAATGTGTTTTGGTGATTTGAAAACCTTGCAGTTAACACATGTTCAACCCTAATTAATTACAAACAAGTTCAGAACATTTAAAATATTTTGACCCCCCACCCCCTCTGGTTACACCACTGGAATTGACTTGAGCCTTTTAGACCTCTGAATTTTAGTTGCAACTTAGAACAGTGTTCTGACATACAAGAAAATTGTAAGAAAATTTAAAATTTGTGCAAAAGCATTTCTCAAATAGGTTGTTCCAGAAAATATCCACACTCCCCCCACAGAGGAAATTTCTGCCGTTCAGAGGGGGAGGGGGGAAAAATTGTTTCTGATAATAGTAAATGTATTAGGACATCCAAAGGGGTAGAAGGGATTAGCTTTCAATTTCCTCTGTGGGAGTGGTATGGGTGTTTTCTGGAATGACCCAATATAACTGGGTTTTTTTTCAAATCTAATCAAACTGTCAAATTGTCAATCTTTGTACATCGGGAGGGGAAATTTTGGAGAAAGAAAAATTGTGACCAATCAGGTTGGGGGTCCACCTGTAGGCCTGGTCATAGGCGTACAGGACTGGGCTCAATTGTTGGGCAGACTAGGCCAGTCGGGCAATATTTACTTCACAGTTGGGCAATATTGGCTTATTATAAAAATAAATATGAGAAATTATTCCCTCAATATTGGGGGAAATATGCTATATAATGGTCGAAAATTTAGTTCATTTTGATTAATAGTCATTTAATATATGTGCTATCAACAGTTTCTTTATGGTATTAAGTAACAGATTACAATGTTTGTACATTAGAGACTTAGAGGCACTAATAACTCAATAATAAATAGGCACTAATACAAACTCTGAGCCAGTGCACCCAGCATCCTCAAATTGGGAATAATTTGTAAATTTAAATATTTGTGTATAATTCATAATTTATCCTATTCCAATACAAAATGCAATAAATATAGAACACACAATTTATCAAATAAAGGTAAAAAAGGTATTAAAAACTTTATTATGTAATATTTACATTGAATATCGTGGTTGAAGTTGTAGATTTATACTTGAAATTTCAATTTTCGAACGAGAAATGTTTCGCTTTATTATGTTAATTAAATGTTTTACTTTGTTCGCCATTCTTGCTTATTTACAAATACAAATAGTCCATTTCTTTTGCTCTTTTCAAAATAGCCCAGAATTTGGTTCAAAAAAGTATTTTCATGCAAAAACCAGCATTTAACTTTTGTATACACTCCTTGTGATAGCAGACATGTTGCCAAAATATCACCCGGTTAATGAATAACTTCCGGTACTTTCATTGTATTCGCATTGACCAATCAAATCACGTTCTGAGTTGGATTATCCCAGGGCTTCTGAGAGCAATAAGCGCAGAAGCCCTGGGTACGAGGTTGGCTTGTGTCCTTCCTCCGCCCCGCCGCCAAATTACCTAGTCCCAGTCTTTTCATGTGAAAAAGCGCTGAATATTAAAAAATATAAATAAAAATAGAAGGCCTATAGGTCTAGGCTGGGGAAGGGGTATAGCACGTAAAAGTTACATATCGGCAATGTCACAACTATTTTTGTCGCGGGTTGTAGTTTCTTCAATTTTATGGGGCTTCGGTGGCGAAGTGGTTAGCGCACTTGCCTTTCACCTCTAAGGTAGCTGGTTTACTCTTTCTCGACATGTGACATTTTTCACGGCAAGCAATATTTTGATTCAACTGTTTTATAACGTAAATATTTCAGTGCGTATTCACCCCCCTTAAAACAAAGAACACCATTGGAATCTTAACAAAATAAGCTTTTCATCGGGGGGTCTAATGCCGTCAAAACAAATACACAAACCGAAACAATCATATATTTACTCACCACTTGGCCAAACATTCTGTATTTTCATATGGAGAAAATGTTGAATATTTTCTAAACTCTTCAGTATTCGCCGCAAGTTAATGTTAGTGAAATATTCCTTGTATTCAAGCGCTTTTATGTAGAAAGTTTCGTTTGAATACGGCGAGTAGAAATGTTTATTTTGTTTTTTTCAAAATATCGGGTTTCATCGGGTTTTTACTCGCACGCGCGTGCTGCATGTAAAATTGGCCAATAAGGGGTCTCCCGTAGCCCAGTGCACGTGAAAAGCACGCTTCAGATGTAATTTGACCTTTAGAATCGATTTTTGATGTTTTCCGAACGCTAGGATGTAAACACGCGATGTTTTGGCAGATCTAAAATGTATTTCCGGTTAAAAATATCCCGCTGATTTCATTAGTTTCGCAACAGATTGAAATACCGAAATAAAAGACGAAAAACTAAGGCTACAAGCTTGAAAATAACACTTTCAATAGTGTTATTGATTCTGTTTCGAATAAGACTATAGCGAAAACGATATCTCAAAAGGGGCCGAAGTTATGTTCGGCAAAAGGTATTGATAGTTTACATTGTTCGAGACAATTGATTAATATAATGAAATATGACACCGCTTGACCTGTCGAAAGGTCATAAATTGTTATACAATTTCACTAAAATTATATTTGACTAAAACTATCGACAGGTATAGGAGATATTGTTTCACTGAATCGAATGGTGGTATTTTCATCTACATAGCATGCACCCAACTGACGATATGACCCTGCAAAGTCGTAAATCATGAGTGATTTACTTAATAGGGACCTGTCGGGAAAGAGTTAAACATATAGTGTTCTAGCTGACCATGGTTTTAAATTCAAGAAATAAGGGAGCATTCATTTTTTAGCTGGGGGGGTGGGCCGGAGGAATTTGGGGGTGGGTCAGGCAATTTTGACATGCATCAAAGGGGTGGGTCTTTTTATAGTTTTGGTATAAATGGAGGGGGTCATAAAAATAATCGGTGAAAAAATCACCAATATGATTTTATTGAATTTGGAAATATTTGGATCAAGAATGGTAAAAAGGTCTAGAATCTATCAACTATCTCGTCATCTATAACAGAGAAGCAAAATTCATTTGACGCTCTGTTCACACAGTCCATAGGAAAACATTTCCATGACGTTCGTCAATTGGCCTCGTTTTTATCCGTTTTTGTGTGAAAACATGAATGAAAGAAAACGCAGGACTGTAGCATGATTTCATTTCGTCAAAATCATGCATGATTTCAAGGTCTGCATGACTTCAAAATCATGCAGACCTTGATCAATTTTAAGCTTTATTAATTTTAAGCGGCTACATTATCCATGACAAACTGCAAAGAATGAAGATAGTACCCACAGTTTCCTGCAACTTATCCTAGTTATCCAATATATAGTAAATTGAATACGCCTTTGCCCATTTAGTACTACCAAATTGTCAATTTCAACATACTAAAACGCTGTTTTCTGACCATCAGAATTCTGTCAAATCTTTCCCCAAAGGCCAGGTAATGGCATTTAAGAGACTCTAGATTTAAAAATTTCCTCGGGCCTTCGGCCCTCGCTTTCAGCTTCCCAATAAAAAATAGCTTCCTACGGCCCTGAAACGCTATGGAAACGACACCGTGTGGATTAATAGTTAGGATGAGGGGTCAAAAAATTTTCAGTAAAAAAAATAGTTGGTCATAATTTTTTATCAACTTTTGTCTTGAGGGTTCCAAGTTTTCGCATGGAATTAGACATCAGTTCCTCCGGCCCACCCCCCCAGCTAAAAAATGAATGCTCCCTAATGTCTGTCACATGGACTGGTAAATATATGAATAGGCATTGGCTTTTTAAGGTGTTATCGGGAAGGGAGTTCTAATCTTGTGATGCTCTTAAGTAATGTGAAGTAGAGATTTGGGATCATTATGATTGCCTATTAACTGAAATCTAACTATTCACATGTCAGTGGTTCGTCGAGCAGTTCAAGTCGCTCAAGTAGTGGAAGTTCACGAAGTTCCAGCAGTGGTAGTTCTGGGAGCAGTAGTTATTCCTCAAGCACTTCAAGATCCAGTTCCAGCTCAAGTTCCAGTGGGGGCGACAAGAAAGGCAAAGGTAGGTGGAACCTTCTTGCAAGTCATTTGTCAAAGTTTCATTCTGAACTACCTGAAAAAGTTTCAAAACACTCCAGAAACACAAATTGTAGACTGTATAGAATATTACCAAAATGCTTCTTTTCACTTGAAAAAAAGTCATGGTTTTTACGTCAAAACACTCATGAATGTCAATACATTCCTAACATTGTAACATCATGGGAATAGCAACATCTGATTGGTCTGTGTTACGTCTCCATAACAAATAGCAAAACTCCCTTTTCAATTAGCAAAACACCCTTTTCAAATAGCAAAACACCCTTTTCAAATAGCAAAACACCCTTTTCAAATAGCAAAACACCCTTTTCAAATGGCGAAACATCCTTTTCAAATGGCAAAATGCCCTTTTCATATAGCAATTAATTATTTCATATAGCAATTATTTCATAACATAATGTACACTATCTTAAGCTATTTACACAAATCAATTACGAAACATAATACATAGTACATACAAACTAAAGCATTCACTTGCATCCTTGCGGGATAGTAAACTTATACTGCAATACTAATAGTCCAATTTTGCCAACAGTTAACTCCAAAATGATTAAATTACAATAAATGTAAACTGTAAACTATTAGTTGAACTCCAAACAATTGATTGAAAATATGTGTCTGCACCAGAGTGTTTATATAGGTCTGGTAGACTGGGCAAGAGCTCATAAAACTATACTAAATGACGTATCATCACAGTAGGGGTTGCTTGCAAAATTGCGTGCCCAACGTCCTGGGGCAACCAAAAATTTGTGTCGGGCAACTAAAATCTCTTGACTAATGACCCAACGGGCAACCACACTTTTGTGTTTTGAATCGACAATGTCAATGACAGTAGTAATCCAAGCATGGGAGGTAAGAGTATTTGTAACACAGTAGCAGTTGTAACTTGTTAACAGTTAAATAAACACCGGTTTTGTTGAGGTTCATTCAACTTCATTTGTCTATTTTTATCTAATTTAATGTGGGCAAGTGAGAAATGGCCTCGGGCAACCAAATTGTGAGTGTTGGCTGCCCCAAGGGCAACCACTTTTTTCAAAATTTTGCAAGCCCTGGGTGGTGTCAAATTGTCATTATGGGGGATTTATGGCCAAGACAAAAAAATTGCCGTACAAGTCAAAGTGCTGCCGACCTTTTTGCCTATGCCGGTTTATTAATATTGCAAGGAGTGTTAAGCTGCAAAGCGCCATACTTTATTATTATGATAATCTTATTCATCAAGAGGAAACTCAGGCATCAATACATCCAAGTTAACACAACTATGTTACCTACACCATTTCAGTTCGTACTAAATCGTCAGTGAAACAAGCATCCGCAAAAGAAACAAAAAAAACTGATAAAGTTCCCGAGAAAAAACTTGAACCGAAGCCTGAACCCACCCCAGAAAAGAAACCCGAACCGGTGGAACCTAAACCCGAACCCAAGGCTGAACCCAAATATTCCCCACCTCCCAAGAAGTCACCCACCCCTCCCCCTATCATACCTCCAAAGAGGCCATCACCCTCGCCCCCTAGAGAAAAAACCCCGCCCCCCAAACCGAAAGTTCCATCGCGTTCACGATCTGTATCAAACGAGCGTATCCGACCAGCAGTTACCGAACGACCCAAACCACCGAGACAGTATCGATCACGGTCGAGATCTTCAAGCCCAGGCGGCGCTCGTAACCGAAGTCGATCGCCATCCGACTCCAGGTCAAGGTGTGTTTATGTACTTTGTGTAGGCATGTTTCATAATTAAAGCCTGTTTTATACGTCGAATTTTGGTCGCGTCGAATGCAATTAAGACAATAGATAATGAGATGATAAAGCTCATTAAGCTTCATTATCTATTGTTTGAATTGCATTCGACGCGACCGAAATTCGACGTATAAAACAGGCCTAAGGTTACAGAACACCTTTGAGTGTTAATTTTGCCTAAAATTTTTTATTGGTTTCAATGAAAGCATTAGACTAGTTCTACTATCTGACCAAGTTTGAACGAAAAATGTTGAAAACTCGCAGAGTTATTTAGTAAAATACATTTCGCTGCAATAAGAAAAACATTGAAAATGTAATATTCAAATTCAATTTTCTCACGAAAAACTTTACGGTAATTACTGATTTTCAAACGAGTTATGCTCCTGCGGGTTTTAACCAATTTTTCTCAAATTTTCACAGGACATAGCTAAATACGTCAGTTTCAAAATTGTGTTCGGCTTTTATTTAATTTTGGATATTTTAAAAATAAAGAGCAATTCACTCAAACAATTCAGAAATATGTTGCAGTCAAAGAAATCGCCATATCAGCGGAATGACGAAATAAACAAGAATTTCCGAACACAATTTTTTAGAACAACTATTTTACTGTATAAAAATGATATTTTCATAAATATAACTTAAAACCAGCAGGAGCACAACTCAAAAGCGTAAAGGTACCGCGATTTAAGATTTTCCTGAATAATTCTTACATTATTTTATTGTTTATCAATTTTACAACTTTACCATATTTTGCATGCACTGCAGGAGAAAATTTGGTGAAAATTTGATGAAAATCGGACTGATATTGAGCGCGCAGTAGCGATTCTCCGCAAAACGCCAAAAAGGGTGTCCTGTAACCTTAATGACTAAATTAATGATTTATAAATTAATTGTTTGTTTTGTCGTTGGTGTACCATATTTATTTGTATATTTTTAGACAGTTCATATATCGACAATTAATGTTGGAAATAATTGTTAGTAATAACACATACGCGAGGGCCATAATTATTATTATAAATCAGAAAAGTTTGATTTTCACGATATTTTGATGCCATCGTAGCAGAGCCTGAAATAATGTTCAAAAATTGTCCGGAAAAAATGTCCGACCGAAATCAAACTTGATCGTAAACTTTCAAATTGGTCGGACATTTTTTCTATTTTATTTTGAATCCATGCCTTTGTTGAGCAAATTAAGCCAATATATAACTAATACTTTTACGTTAAACACTACACAGTTTTGTGTTCTTTGTGGGATGATTTGATGCAACTTGTGATTAAATCAGTCATTCAAAAAGTCTAGCTTTATCCCGACAAAATTTCCAATCAATTTAGCATTTGGTCGGAAATATCTGATGACTAAAGTTCGACCGTTATTTCCGGCCCTGCTTAGCAACGTAAATATTGTTGATGTTTGTGATGTTACTCTGAGTGTATATCCACACTGGGCAAGCTTGAAAAATATGCCTGGCCACGGTGGGAATCGAACCTACGACCTTTGGAATACTAGCCCAATGCTCTGCCAACTGAGCTACGCGGTCAGGTCGGTTCGAGTAAGTGATATTTCGGAACTGAGTCTAGTTCCTTCGATATCAATATTGTTATTATCATCAGGTCAAGATCAGCATCACGATCCAAGTCGCCACGAAAACGACGCAGCCCAAGCCCAAAAACCAAAAAATTATGTGTCAACCGTCTGTCACGCAACGTCACTCGTGATCATATACTGGAAATATTCAGCGTCTACGGCAAAGTCTCTAGTGTCGACCTTCCTACCAATAGGAACCTTGTCCACCCCGGCTACGCGTATGTGGAATACGAAGAGCACCCGGATTGTGAGAAAGCGATGAAACACATGAACGGAGGTCAGATAGACGGCCAGGAGGTTCTCGTACAGTTTGTGCTCAATCAACGCAATCGAGAGATACGCCCCCGGAAAAACAGCCCCGTACGCAGACGCCCATCTTGGAGACGTTCCCCACCTAGAAGATCCCCCGGGCGTCGTTCTCCACCTCGCCGTTCACCCCCGAGAAGATCGCCGGTTAGAAGGTCCCCAGTTAGAAGATCCCCGGCACGAAGATCGCCCCCCGCAAGAAGGTGAGTGAATTTTTTGTTTGCAATAACGTAATTTTGGATAACAAACAACGGCTATTTTAATGTATTGATCGAGTTTAGAGACAGTCTAAGACTCAAAAGATGAATTACCGTTCAGTTTTTCTTGCTACAACCATTCTGATAGGAGAAAAATCATCCACAAGTTGTTTGACTGCCCGTCATTTGGATGAAAAGTCACGTGATTGCAAACAAAGAATATGTTACATATTTACCTATGTTCCTATGGACGTACACGACCATAACACGAGACAGTCAGAAGACGATTTGACATTGCCTAAACCAAAAACAAATAGTATGAAAAATGCATTCTCCTATAAAGGTGTGGAAGTCTGGAACTGCCTTTCTGCATCGCTAAAATCATCGACAACTATTGCTAATTTTACGTTGAAACATGCAAATTAACATCAAGTAATCCTGCCTTTGTTTCTATCTGTTTTAAATAATCTTCTTGTAAATAATATATTTTATATTTCTACTTGTGTGAGCACGGCCGGTTGGAAGATCACCATTCTTCTTTTTATATTGTGTACATAATTATTTTTTATTAGGTGAAATTGTACCGTCTTAAAATATTGTTCATAACAATAATAGTACTTTGCAAAGTATTTCAACTCCAAAATATTTCACAGGTCATCACCACCAATAAGAAGATCTCCTATACGAAGAAGGTCCCCACCAGGAGGCAGATCTCCCCCCGGAAGAAGATCACCACCTCGATCGTACAGACCACCAGCGAACCGTAGGAAATCTCGCTCGCGTTCCCGCTCCCCCCGTCGTAAAGCAAGATCTTCGTCCTCACGATCTCCTTCCCGCTCGCCACTCAAAGGACGCAACTTCAAACGCAGATCGTCCAGCAGTAGCTCATCTTCGTCATGAGGAAAGTTCGAAACGTGAAATTTACATCGTAGAGACATTAAATTTTGCGCCAGAGTTGGTCGTCGTTTTATAAGACCAGCTTCTCATCCACTCATTTGAATTTTTTATAAAGAACTTGTGCTAACACACTCTGTAAACAACTTTTAATTGCCGGTTATGTGTCGTTATGTTACGGTCACAAGGTTTTTAGGGATGGGGCTTGTGATCGAGAACAAAGAAATATATATTCGTGACTGAGATTGTCTGCTACACACGCCAGAAGCTAGCATCTTGTAGCAAGTCTGCCAACCAGCCGTCAACAAGTTGTGTTCGCACTGCTTGTCCCAAATTGTCAACACGTTTGGAACAACTTGTTAACACTTGTAACAACCTTGTTGATATTATCAGACTTTGTTGAAAGGTTATTCGAACAAGTCCGATACCGTTATGATATAACAATATTGTTACAACCTTGTGTCGTCAACCTTGTAGCATTCTTGTTATATCATGACTGTAGCAAACTTGTTAAAACAACCTTGTATTAAAAACATTCTTGTTATATCATGACTGTATCAGACTTGTTAAAACAACCTTGTAACAAGTCTGATAATGCCATCAAGCTTGTTACAAGTTGTTTACAGCCTGTTACAACAACTAGGACCCTACTGAAAATCGCCCTGACGCAGTGCGAACACAACTTGTTGACAGCTTGTGAAGAGATTTGTAACAACTTGTTTGCAGACCTGTAACAACTTGTGCGTTTTTACGAGTGTAATATCGTTATGTTACTTGCACAAATATATTTTCTTTGTTCTTGACCCAAATCATTACCCTTGTCCCTAACCTTGTGACTGTCACGTAACGATATAATCAAATGACATTCGCGAAACACTGTTAATGCTATGCAGTTGCTCATTATTTTAACTTCTTTGTGATATTATGCAAAGGCCTGTGTTCAGTATGAACAAGCATTTGTTGCAAAGTCACAATTGTGTGTTCTTGGGGAAAACAAACAATTTCTGAAGAACATACCACCTAAAGTATTTACCAATGTTCACGAACACGTTGTTATAGACGTAATGAGGTTTAGGTTTAACTCAATGTAAATAAAGTTTATTCTGCATGAACAGCTCGTTGTTTAAGGTTTGGTTTACACTATCAAAGTCTCTGTAGCAATCACAGTAGCAATTTTGCATGGGTAAATTCTCTTGAGGGAACTGACTCATTGTTCCCTCAAACATTCAATACAAATCCTTCAAAACTTAGAATTTACCTATGCAAAATTCCTACTGTGATCACAGAAACTTTGATAGTGTAACGTTGTTTTAATTACCTGGGCTACACACGTAAAAATCTCACAACTTGTCAACAAGATGTGTTCGCAACAGGCTTGTAGCAAGCTTGTCAACAAGTTGTAACAATGCTGTTATTTTATCAAGTTGCTACAAAATTCTCACTCATAACTTGTTGACAAATTGTTGAATTGCAGGACTATAAGAAGTTGTTGGAAAACTTGTAACAATGCTGTTAATTTTATCAGTTGCTACAAGGTTGTTATTCACAACTTGTTGATAAGTTGTTGGAACAACTTGTAACAAGGTCTGTTGAGCTCAGCAACCTTGTAGCAAGTTGTCAACAAGCTGGGAACACATCCTGATGACAAGTTGTGTTGGAACGGCATTGCTACAGGTCTGCTGCAGGCTTGTTACAACTTGTGCGTTTTTACATGTGCGCTATGGGTTTTCTGACTAGAGGGAGAAGCTACAAGGCGGCTATACCACTTCATCTATGAATAAACAAAACATTTTCCTTGGGACTATATTTATGATGACATTCGTTCCCTTAAAAATAGACGCAGCTCATTCGCCTTGTTGTCATGGCAAGATGCTTTCTCACAAGTTTCAGGTCTTCCAAAATTCTCCTGTTTCTATGGAATTATAATAAGTTTCAACAAATTCTATTGAAATAACTCAGCAGGGTATTCGAAAGTGTGAGACTGAAGTCACACTAAATGGCGACAATTATATAAGTTATTCCTGTTATATATTAACTATTCTTTTAATAATTAACCAATCGCGTTGAGGGCACATTAATTATTAACCAATCATATTAACCAGAGCAAGTCACGCCCAAAGTATTAATTAATACACTGTGTGTCCCATGATTCAGCTTGTGTTTACCATGCTGATATTTTGCTTACTCAAAATAAAGCATATTTTGAAATCTCATGAAATCTGACATGGTAATGTTTGTGGGTTCGTATTGTTGAACTAAACAGGGTCCAAATGGACTCGAAACTTGAAGTGGATGACACAGAAGGGCTGTTTTCGAAGAGATCCAGTTCCAATATCCTATCAGACCCGCGAATCTTACAGCATTTACGAATCGTCGCGCAAGAAGCACACCAGGAAAGCCTGATGGAGAACGACGAAACGGATCTTGAAAACCAACAACGCGAATTATACGAGAAAATTACCGCTTATAACAAGCGAAATCAGCTTGGAGCTTTTAAAATACTGGCCAGAGAGGTTTGTTGTTTTTACTGCAGCTTGTCGAGGGCAAAAGATCACAAAAGAACAATCTACGGGGGGTTTAATTTGGCTCTACTATTAATAGTAGCTCGTCGCCGATTTATACTTTGAATATGTTGCTAAAGTTATCTAAATTTGCCTTCTTTTCAGCTGAAAACAATGATACGTAATTGTTCCTTTTATATATATCGTTTAGTTTGTTTTTAACTCGACATAATCCTGCCCCAACAAGCAAATACTTCTTGACAGAATATAAATTTAGTTGTTGTGATTTCGCGTGTTTCGAAACTCGTTAAAATTCGCCAATGGTTTCAATGTCAATAAAACCTGTGATAAAACACACTCGACAAAGCGACGCTTTGCTGTCGAATTTCCACAGATTTTTGTCAATAATTAAAGGAATATACGTTCAGATATAGTTCAGCTTTATTAAAATAATCTAAATTGGGTAATAGGCAGCTGATTTGTTACTAAAACGACATGCCTATTGTCATTTTACAAATTGAATATTACTGGTAAATATAAAATGGACAATTTTCTAATGTTTACATTCGCCACATTCCAAATTGCGATTAGCACCTTCAAAAATTTACAAATTATTTCAAAATTGATACATAAAATGTAAAGCTATCACGAAAGTTTCCGTCGATTCTCCACCGTTTCGCGTGTATATTTCTGTGTAATTTTACGTAAATATGTTCTCTCTTCGTAGTAAATTAAGTTTATTTTATTTTCTAGAATCTAAACTACGAAGGAGCGTTGCGATTCTACTTTTTGGACCAAGGAAAGGAGCTCACGAAAGCGGTCAAGTTAAACAACAGAACAACAGTCAAAGAACTTTTGCCTTCGCTCGTTGAGAAATTTAGACCAGGATTGGAAGACGAACTTGTTGGCTTTTCTAAACTTTATGCAGTCCAAGAACAAGGTCAGGAGAGTTTAATTTTGTCTAGATTTAATATTTGGACGAGTTTTAAACACCATCGTTAGTACATTCGTTAACTAGTAAAGTGAACAGTCAAACGTGTACAAATTTGCTGTGATTAGAACAAAATGGCCTTTGATGTATTGTCATGTAAATTTTTACTTAATCTTTGTACAAATTCTTCCGCCTGGCGCTTCCTTTTAAAAGCATTCCTTTCTTAAAAGTTGTTTATGGGAAAAACTCTCACCCAAAAAGGCTAAACCGAGCAAGTTCATCTTGAAGTAATCATATATACTTTTGCCAAAATAATTTTTGCGTGGGCTTGAAATAGTTTCGGCTGTTTTCTATAAGTTTCTGAGATGCAATATCATGCCTTTAAGGTCTTTATGTACATTGGACTTAGCTAACTGCCAAAATTGAGATAGCTCTTCAGACATATACTAATTAAAAGAACATTGTAAACTGTATTTTTCGACAGCCATGTAAATTTAGACTTAAAATAAAGTGAATTTGTCCTAAAAAAAACTAAGTAAATAATTAACTGTTAGAGATGGCACATTAAGTGTTTGACAAGTGGATAAAATGTATCGTTATGAAATGAAAGGCACTAAGAATAGATATTGATAGCATGGGAACTTGCTTTTAAATTCCTAAGGCATAATTTAGATTAATATTCACACCATGAAATCCTAAATAATATATGACTGAATAATTGGAGTTGTGTAATTATGGACATTGCAATCAAACTTTCCTACTGTAGAAACCCAAGTGGCAGAATGAATATCTGTATTAGAGACATGTCCATTTATTGAGTGTACTTGTCATTTATATTCTGTATATCAGTCAATGTTTTGGAATGAAACAGCTGCTGCTAAATAACTGAATAAAGCATTATGTTTGTGTAACTGCCAACAGGATATTATATATAAAAAATGTTGCATTTTCCAGTCATAACAATGGGGAATATTGTATTGAACACTGCCGTCAAACATCAAATGAGTCTACAAAAATGGTTGGGAAAATGCCAGTCAAAATAGTAGGAGTAAATACGGGTGAAGAAAAGCGTACTATAAGGAAACGGCAGTTAAAGGATCTATCTTTGATTTCACTTTTTGACCTGAGTTCTCACTCCAGAAATATATGGAGCTCCCTTGGGTCAACCTTGTTCCCAGGCTCTTATCTCCACACTGCCTCCACCACAGGCCCTGTTGCACCATGGGAAAATCAATCCCATATTTTAATATCCCCAATAATCCCCAATTATAATTTTGTAAATGTGAGTTCCATCAATGCTATTTTCTGCACCTCTGGACAATTAAGACAGACTGGAAGTATATGAATATAAATTATATAAGGTCTTTGAATCTTTTAAATTCCTTAAAAACATCCTTTAAACTTTCAAGGTTCCTGTTTATAAGGATAAATCCTTGAAAGTGAAAGTACTGTTTGTAATTGCCTCAATTACATGTAATGTCCCCTCCAAACTTCTTGTAATAGAACTGTAAGAAGTGTACACCCCCCAGGCCTCAGTGCCCATCGCATGACAAACAAAGTGCCCTGTACTTTCTTTAGGGGAAAAAAGTACCTTTCCAAGAAATCCACCTTCATCTTGCCACATTTTATCTTTCTACAAACCTGGACAGAACTGCCCCCCTACGCAAAATTTGCACGCACCCCTCTACGCAAAATTTGCATACTTCTTATGATAAATTCCATGTTGAATCATGTTGCCCTTCTTAAGCCCCAGCTCCCCCAAATCAATGTTGAACTTGTGTCATGATGATAAATTACAAAAAAAATTTTCGACACTGTAAACAACATGAACTGGGGGAAAGGCACTGGGGAGAGGGGGTGACGAAGTTTGCGTTGTCATTGTACATTAACTTTGCAATATTGGCTGGAATGGCCTCAAGGGTTTTGTCCAAGATTGTAGCAAGAATCTTACCAATTTTGTCTGTGAGGAATATAAGCTATAGTTTCCTATGCTGTCGTAAGGCAGCTGCATAACAATTCTTCATTTATTTCAGATGAAATTTGTCTGGACCAGACAGAATGGCCGTTGGGTATCGCACTTAACGCCACCAAACCGATACGCTTCATTTTACGAATCAAGAAAGACGAGAAGCCCGTCACAAATGGCTCCGAAGTAAACGAGACGAACGCTACTGCGAACACTGCTACGAACGGCAAAATAAGCGACGACGTTTTATTACGTCCAAACGGTGGAAACAAACGCGACAGGCCTTTGAGTGGTGGCGTTTATGATTTCATGTATGCTGGTCGAGACAAGAGCATCAAAATGACTGCCGGGGCAGTTTATGACAAAAAGGCTCAGAATTCCCCGAAACCGAAAAAAGGTCAAGGGAGCAGGCCAAAGGGTCGCTCGTTAGGCGCTGTTTTAAAACTGCCCAAGAAAAATCGCTCTCTTGAACGTGGTCACGAGCTCTCGACCAATCATATGGTGCCTGGAGTCTTAAAAGTGTTCGGTGCTGGTATTTCGGCCGATTCAAATTATAAAAGCGTTAAAGTTACTAACACGTCCGACGCTGATTCGATCGTGAAGCAAGCTTTGGGGAAATATAAACTAGATTCAGCTGACTCGAATGAGTTTGTGCTCTGTGACGTAGTTGGTCACTTTCGAAAGGTTTCCGATGGTAGCGGGAAGGGTAAGGACAGCCAAATGCAATGGGTAACAGAATATGCCAGAGTCGTTAGTGATCAGGAGAGGCCGTTGGTTTTACAGTCGCTATGGCAACCGACTGGTAATCGTTCGCGAAGATTTGAACTTCACCGCAAGGGTACTGTTGTGGATGGGCCTGGGGCTAGCCCAGCCTCCAATGGCGTTGCCCGCAAGAAAGCGACTATAGCAAGTCAGCCTCCGGATTTAACACTACTTAAGAAGAAGCTTAGTATTAGCAGCCAGTCGGAGTGTAGCGAATCGGGAACTTTTGAGTCGCCTCAGAGATCACGGCTTGATGATGGTAGCGTGAGCCACTCTAATCTCACTTTTAACATGAGCACCGCGGTCGACGTCCCATATCTGCTCCTGCTTCGAGGCAGTGGAATCGCTGAAGACTACTTACTGCATCGTTTAGACGAAGACCATATGATTATAGGCCGGCCTACTATTGGGCAGAAACACCCCGATATCCCTCTTTACAGCGACGATTTACAAACGCAACATTGTCAAGTGTTTAAAAAACTCCCAGCCGACAACGAAAGCGTTGCCGAATCGGAAGACGGACTGGAACAAGTGTTTCTTGAACCTTTCCCAAGCTGTGAGGTTATGGTTAACGGCAGGACTTTGACCGATGCAATGTTGTTAACACCTGGCGACCTCTTGCAAATTGGTCTGCACTATGTGTTCTTGTATAAAGACCCAATACGCACCTCTGATGCGAACTTGATATTTGATTGGCTGCCTGGCGCCGCTGTTGGCGGTAATTATGCTAATTCGCACGGCAGAGCTAAAGTTATTCAAATGCAGCAAGTTGCCAGAAATCCGAATCGGTTAAGTTTGGGCTACGAATTGGAGGACGAGGATCGGTTATTGGAATATTTTGTGACCGTTTGTGAACCGGCACAGGACGACGAGTTTGAGCTGGTTGCGTCGTATTTGTTTATACTCGCTATAGAGTACTCTTCATTGAATCATACTGATATTGATACGAGGAGACTTATATTGAAAGTTACTAACGTGATACAGGCTGTAGCTTGGGTAAGTTGCTTAACTTTATTTGTACTGGATCGCTCTTATACTGTTCTAAACTGTTCTCCCTAGAGGCCCAGTAAGGATCATCTCTTATTGATCTAGTGTTACTACAGGAGGAAACCTAAACTAAACTAACTTTATTTATACCGGATAGCTCTATCAGTTCTAAACTGTTCTCCCTAGAGGTCTAGTAAGGATCATCTATTATTGTTCCACTTTTACTACAGAAAGAAACCTAAACTAACTTTATTTATACTGGATAGCTCTAACAGTTCTAAACTGTTCTTCCTAGTCCTAGAGATCCAGTAAGAGTCATCTCTTATTGATCCAATATGTTACTAGAAGAGTAAACCGGAGTACCAGAGAAAATCTGTGGCATTTAGTACAATCCAAAATAACCATTGGCAGAGGAGTCGATCTGAATTATATTACAAATGTAAATAGTGTTTTTGGTCCAAATACTTTATTCATTTCTGTTTTTTAGGAAAAGACAAAGGGCATAACGGAAACCAATGTGGAAGGGTAATTATTCTTCATCTATTAGGACAGCGTAATAGAGTTCTTCCTATAATCGTGCTATACATTCTTTTATTTAGTGAAATTGACCCGTTGAAGTCTTTGAACGAAATTGTCCCCGATCTTAAGCAGATTTTATTTTGGATGAGTAATGCTCTGGAAATGTTGCATTTCCTTCAAGACAACCTGTCCACGTATCTACCAGGCAGCTTTCACGTGAACAGCTCGTCAAACGACCCAGAAGAAGAAGCTTTGGCTAACGCTGATGAAGAATTATTAAATGTTTTAGAGGAAGTCGCCATGTTTACTTTCCAGCAAACTGTATATCATCTTACAAAAGTATGCTCTCCTTTTTCGTTGGGTTACGTAACCTGTCACATTTTGCTTACGTGATCATCAGTTTTCTTCACGTGATCATTCGTTTTCTTCACGTGATCAGTAATCTTGTTCACGTGACCATTCATTTTGTTCACGTGATCATAGATTTTGTTCACGTGACCATAGATTTTGTTCACGTGATTAAATCAAAACTTCCATTTATAGGTTCTTTATGTCGCCCTACCACTCATATTGGATACTAATCCATTTCAAAAGCTGGAGGACGACGAAAGTCGAGATGGAGACGAACTGGAAGGCGCTGAGATCGTTGTCCAAATATTTCAAACCGTCTACGATCTTATTACGTCGTTTCACGTTCACCCACAAATCGTGCGTCAACTTTTCGCGTATCTGTTTTTCTTTACGAACGCGTCGCTCTTCAATACGCTCATGGACCGCGGTGCTGGTGGGAAGTTTTATCGCTGGGCGAAAGGTGCGCAGATCCGTGGCAATCTGGATTTGTTGGAAGGTTGGGCCTCGGATGTCGGTCTACAGGAAGAAGCCACTGACTACCTGAGGAAACTTTCGTCTGCTGCTGATGTTCTGGCCACACCCAAAGTGCAGTTATTACAGGTAACAGCCCGGTCAGGTGGAATGATGGGTAGCGCTGTCCAGCCTTCGCACAACTGACTCCAGAAGTAGGATGTGTTTGGCCCTTGTTTGAGCTCTAGGAAATATAGTGTAGAACTGATAGAACTACACACATAACAAACCTGTAGCAGCCTTCTGGCAATGCTGTTCCAACAACTTGTGAACAGGATGTGTTCGCACTGCTTGTTCCCAGCTTGTTGACAACTTGCTATACAAGGTTATTGAGCTCATTAGACTTGTTATATGTTGTTTCAACATCTTGTTATCGTCTTGCAATCCAACAACGTGTTAACAAGTTGTCAGTGACAACCTTGTAGCAACTTGACAAACATTGTTACAACTTGTTGACAAGCTTGCTGCAAGGCTGTTGCGAACACATGGCAAGTTGTGAGATTTTTACATGTGTGGGCTATGCTGGGCGATGTGCACTTCTATATACTGATATTCTTGTATTATTACGTTCAGGCCGACTGGCAAAATCTTCGTCATGACTTTCCGATGTTAAACGCTGCTCAACTACACAAGATTCTGACGGAGTATCAAGTTGGTGCTGGAAAATCCCGACCAGCCGAGTGGCGCCCGACACCTGACGAAGTTGATGCCGCCCTAAAGGATGGTAAGATATAGAAATGTTTAGCGTTTTATGCCTGGGGGAAACTATGGAACATTGTTTTTTAGCCATCTTTCTCAAAGGTGGGCAAACGAGGAGACGCCATGTTTCCCTAAAGTGAACAAACTAGGAAACATTTTTTCTTAGCCATATTTCCCAAAGTAGATACCTAATTATGAAACAACAAATGTAATATTTTAATATTTATTTCAGAAGAAATTTTGGAAAGTTTCTCCACACATCCACCATTCTTGTTCCCAACCTCTGACTACCTGCTCGACCTTGAAGCCGAGACCCCTCACCCGGTAGTCAAACAGACCCTCGATGAACTCAAATCGTCCTTCGGATCCAGTAACGATTCCCAAGTATCAACATCTACCCTGAGAAATCCACAAGTGTTGGTCCAAGGCCCCGACTCGGATTTTCCTTCCCGACATTCAACGCCAGCGTCCTCAGTCAGGTCCAGTCCGCCAGTGTCATCGACTGCGAGCCCACGAAAGCTTGCCCAAAAATTTAGCTCAAGTGACCCGACTTTAAATAATGTCGACCCTAACCGAGTGAGCAACCGTTTAAAAAATCATGGTAAGGAATAAGGATTACTCAAGAGATGTATTCATGTATTGTGTTCATTGCGCAGCGCCTTTCGCCCAAATACTAAAGCATGCATGCATGCAATTTCTTATACGGGATGATAAAAAGCTCTGTATTCGCAGTTTTTACTCACCAAAAAATCGGAAATAGTTTCTACTTGTAAACAATAGATTCTACTCGTAAGCATTAACAATGGAATGAATGCATGTATTGTTTGACGCCCACACGCCCACGTTTCTGAATATTTAAGCAGCCTATTTTTCGAAATTTGTCGGCCACCTGATGATTCCTCGTGGATGAAACACATGAAATATATATATACATTTTATGTGGGAGGAAAACGAAGTTCCTAGAGAAAACCCACGACTTTCGGTAAAACGTTGACTGAGTCTTTTCGCAAAAGTGCTATGACTCCGCAGCGAAAATCGAACCCATCTGAACACCTCGATCTGACAAATGCGCCACCAAAGCCTCCTTAGTTTATGTCTTCTCTTGCAGTCACACTGGGGCAATAAGGGAAAGCACTTGATCTCTAGAACAGTTTAAAATTGATATGTATTTTAACATCTTTTAGTGAATGGTATTTCGAAGAGTGCATCATTGGATAACATAGCAAATCGGGTCAAACCGGAAGCGGAAGTGCTCTCCGACCCGTCAGAAAAAGAGTCCGAGGAAGGTTTTCGGAGAGGAAGTGACGCGCAAGATGACGTATTTGTCGTCGAGTTGGAGAAAGGGGATACTGGGATAGGTGTTGGGCTTATCGATGGCTTGGTAAGATTTAGTTGAAAACAGAAGTTAAGGTGGCGCCTTCTGTTTATTGTGACTTTTACCTTCAATATATTCTCATTTCTGTAGTTCACACCATTGAAATCCAACGGAATTTATGTGCGAACATTGGTAAAGACTGGACCGGCTGCCAAGGTAGAAACATTTACTTTATGTGGAATAGAAAACCATTTGGCGTGAGAAGAAAATACCAGCGCATGTTTCGTTGGGTCATCAACTCATCATGAAGTTATACGAACAGGCTCTGTGATTAGTTGCCTTTTACAATTTAGCAGAAAAATTCAGCTATAAAATAGATTTTCTAAAGAACTTAATTTCACAACTTTTAGATAACTCACATATCTAGTTACTATTGTTCTAGAACAAAGGTAACTAAGATTAGAGTTATCTGCATGAATGAATAGCTCTTATACATAATTCTAATGCTTAGTTACCTTTGTTATATTTTATGCTTCTGTAAAGTGTAAACTGAGGCATGTAAGTTATTCAAGTTCTAAATTGGGTAGCAACGATAAAAACAACGCCAAATTTGTCTATCGATAACTTTTGTTTGCTTAGCTACGTCCTTGCTGGTTTCATTTTTAATTCAATGACTTTTGATTTCAATAGGATGGTCGTCTTAGACTGGGTGATCGAATTCTGGCCGTTAATGGAACAAGTTTGGTCGGTGCAGATTACCAAAGGTATTGATAAAATTTGCTCGATTTATATATAGTGAAGATTGATAATCCATCAAGACATGATCTTCCGTCTGACGCTCCGTCTGTTTTGGTGTAAATAAAAGACGAATTATCTAGGGTCTGTCTGTATAAAAAGGTAGTTATAGTTGATAACTACACTTTGTGCGAACGTTGACCAATTCAGGCTGCGATAATTCAAGATTTTTAGTTTTATCAATGACTATTGCCACGTATATGCGCTGGTACAAATTCAGTTCTCAATGTGTAGGTTTCTGAAAAGAATGTTCAAACTGCGAGTTAGAAGAAGAAGCACATTTGCATATAGAGACAAATGAATCGAATACTCCCTTAGTGCCGTCAGTCTAATCGTGTTTCATGCCAAGACATCTCAAACAAATGATATACTAACTACCAACAATTACGGTATTGAATACCTTGGGCTTGGAAAGGTCATGTGCCATGTGGTACCAGCAAAAAGTAAAATACTCAGAAAGCAAGTCAGTCACGTGTTTTATACAACCGACTCCTAAAATTTCTTAGGAGTTTATCTCATAGTCAAGACGAACCAGGCACACATGAGGTCCGACTAGACGAACAACGTTGGCTTGCTCCAGCATATAAATCGGGCAAATAATGGATGTTAATTTCTTTATTATTTGTTTAGTGCAATGAAGTTAATTCGAAATGCTGGCAAGCATTTGACATTTCTCGTCGCAAAATCAGATCTTCATGTCGCGATGAAAATTACGGCTTCGACTTGCTAGCGAAAAGAAAAGGCTGATGAAAAAAAGCCAGCCCGGATTTTCAATTTGACCAAGGGATACATACGGTTACATGTCGGGAATTTTCAAGAGTTAGACAGATTGGTGACCGCCTTTATTGGCTGTGAATAAAGGAACCAATAGAAATGAAGAGATTTTCGATTCCGCTTTTAGTGCAAGAAATTGTCCGAGGCGAACAGCTATATACTACTGACATAACAGATTCTTTTATTATAATTTTTACCCCATGTTTTTTTACTTTGTATAATCATGGTATAATTGAACTACGAAACATTGCTATTAATATATTTTTATTGATTTTTTTTACATTAACGCATTCTTATCGCACAATCACACATCAAGATTTATATATCATGCGCCGACATTTAATGTATATACTCAAGTCTGGTATTAATGTTGGAATGAATATTTATTTAGGAGTTTGTTCTAGAAAGTAATTACCATTTATATTTAACCGCGTGCATGGCATTCCAGATTTATACGACAGTGACTTCGAGTACCAAATGACTGACTTCGAGTACCAAATTAATATGAAATAATTTTACTTTCTTTAAATTTTGTATGCAGTATTTTAAACGAGAAATATATTTTTGTAATGTTTTTATGTAGTACACTACTTTCGAGTTCGGTTGTTTTTAGGCTGGGGGTTATCGGGGTCGGTGTTGCACAACCTAGCAAGCCAGGGTCTTTACCTCCGCACTGTTTCACTCCCACTCTGTTTTCCCCAGCCTCGTCCCCAGGCTCCAACTCAGACGCGCGGGTTCGCGACGCAAGGCAGTGGACAGGTCACGAAACGGCGCAGCAAATCAAAGCACTTGTGGACGAGGCTGTGTAAGTGATATCTTTTTGAAGATCGTAGAGGTGGTGTGATGTATGATGCAATAGTCTCATGACACGCATACTACTTCTCGGGTTACTGTCGTCACACGTAACTCTGCGTAGCAGACCAGTGATATAACGACACATCATCACAGTATTTCCTTTCAGAACCAACAAAGAAACTCTGTACAACACAAGCTCTTTAAAATATGTCTTTCAAACAAACATATAAAAAGCGTAGTCAAAAAAGCGAACGTTTTCTCGAGTCAGTTTCGAAGAGAAATGGCGAGACGACGATCATTCGGCGGATATGAAGAGGAAAGATTTGAAAACGAAGTAGACAGTACATTACTGTGCCCTATTTGCAGAAACGTCTTAAAAGACGCAGTTCAATGCCCAAATGAGCATTATTGCTGCCGTTCGTGTATTGGAAAGCATTTGCACGAAAACTCCGAAACGTGTCCGACGTGTCAACACCATCTGACGGAAGAAACTTTGAGCAAACCACCGAGACTTTTGACGAATATGTTGCAGAACCTCAAGATTCGCTGTGATCACGCCCAGCGCGGTTGTCGAGAATTGATCAAGCTTGAATTTCTTGATCGCCATGTCAAGAGATGTGGGCATGTGGCTATTCACCAACACGTTGTACAAACTCTGGCTGTTCTCAAGTTATCAACCAACACGAGAAAGAACGACATGAGAATGAACTTTGTCGTTTCCGTTTGATTGTGTGTGACGATTGTAAGCAACTAATGTCTTGGAACTCAAGTCGTGTTCATCCCTGCTTCATGAGGAAAGAAATGGACGTTGTTCAGACAGATGTGAAGGAAGTTCAGAATGATACGAGGGAAGTCGAGGACGAAGTAAAGCAAATGAAGCTGACTCAAGAGGAGTTTATTCGGAATCTGATGGACCAAGTTGCCAGACAAAATGATGTCGTTGATGATCTATGCCACAGAATGAATAACATGAAAGCAGAAATGGAATGGAATGCAAAAGAAGCAAGCGAACGATGTGATTTATTCACTGGAAGACAGAAAATTTTCGTTTGTGGAGGGGGTGATAGTAAGACTAACTTTAATTCCGTAGAGTCATACAGCTGGCCCGAGAATTCCTGGACTGTGGAACCAGCAATGAAGGAGGCACGATCAGATCCTTCAGCATTTGTCCACGAGCGGCAAATATATGTCAGTGGCGGATGGACTGGGACCCAGAGAACTGACAGTATTGAAAGCATGAATGTAAAACCTTACCACCACTGCCTGCTCCTATCACTAGTATGGCTAGTGTTAGTTATAAAGGTAATGTAATTTTGATCGGAGGTGTTAATGAGAAAGTTCAAACATTAAACAGTGTAGTAATGTATGATGTGAAAACAGGAAAAATTAAAATGACACCTTGTCTTAATCATAAAAGAGCAGCAAGTGCAGCAGTTATCTCTGGCAATGTTATCATTGTTATGGGTGGTTATGATTATCAAACTAAAACATGTCTCAACTCTGTAGAGTGTTTAGATTTAAGTAGCAATGTATGGAGAGAACTGTCGCCAATGAAAACTAAGCGATGCCATGCAACTGCAGTTACGAAACCAATTTCATAGAATGTATCAATTCGATTCAATTGAACTTTGAGACAAAACTGTTTATTAAGAATATCAACGTAATCCTATAATATCATCATTTTGTACAGTTTGTGACGTATACTTAATGACGTATAATCAATGTAGATATATAAGATATATAAATCAGAGACTGTTATTTTGCTACTTAATCCATAATAAAATGTATTGTCCAAACATCTCACCTTTTCTCAATTAATTTCTACAGCTGGTTACAGTACGTCTATCAGTTCTAAACTGTTCTTCCTAGAGGTCCAGCAAGAGCCATCTCTTATTGATTCAGTGTTACCACAGGAGGAAACCTAAACTAAACTAACTTTATTTATACTGGATAGCTCTATCAATTCTAAACTGTTCTTTCTAGAGGTCCAGCAAGGATCATCTCTTATTGATCCAGTGTTACTACAGGAGGAAACCTAAACTAAACTAACTTTATTTATACTGGATAGCTCTATCAGTTCTAAACTGTTCTTCCTAGAGGTCCAGCAAGGATCATCTCTTATTGATCCAGTGTTACTACAGGAGGAAACCTAAACTAAACTAATTTTATTTATACTGGATAGCTCTATCAGTTCTAAACTGTTCTTCCCAGAGGTCCAGTAAGGATCATCTCTTATTGATCCAGTGTTACTACAGGAGGAAACCTAAACTAAACTAACTTTATTTATACTGGATAGCTCTATCAGTTCTAAACTCAATCTTCCTAGAGGTCCAGCAAGAGCCATCTCTTACTAATCCAGTGTTACCACTGTGGTTTTACTCAGTGAACTCTATTAATATTCTTAATACTAGTCTTACTTACTAGTCTTTTTAGAGTTCCCTGGTGTTACTACAAGAGGGGATAGCCAGCCTCGTCCCCAGGGACGAGAATGGCTTTTCCCTAATTTGCATAATTAGCGCGTTTTTTAGTATCCCAGTTGTCCTTAGCAACAACTTAATTAAGACATCAAATATGGCGGATTAAAATGAACAAGGAATCTTCTGATATTGACCAAAATGTCCCAATCGTTCGGGTTAAATGGCTTTATTGATGAATTTGATGAACGAAGTCCATCTTTGTCATGTATCCTTTTGTTTGATTAGTTTGATAGCTTTTTAATAAAATATAAGTTGCTTTCATAATACTATTAAACATATCAAATTTTGATGTTGTTTTACTTGTATTCAGTATTGTTGAATATATAAATTTGCAGATGTTAAGGTGTACTCGTTTGATCTTTCAATCTGTCTAAATCTCTCATTAAACTACCAAATTTGTTTGTGCAACAGAATAGGAGGTTTTGAGTAATGAATAATATAAAATGTGCGTTTTATTGAACATATTTTCATAATTTCATTATAAAGCACAAAGCCTCTGATTATCATTCAAATATATTTCATTTTACTGTACCCAAGTAATCACTGGGAAAAGTGGCCATCACTATCAGAATGCTCACCATAATATATTTGACTTTATATCTCGGTACAGGGTATATAAACTGTAAAGTACCCATGCATGAACTTCAGGAAATTATATAAAGCATATTCAATAAAGACCTCAGCTATAGGGACATACTAGAAGCCATGGAGCTCCTGTTTAAGTCTTGCTGGGTAGAACAGAATATTAATGGTTTTTGTATATAGAAATTCAAGCAAAAACTACATCCACATATTTTAGACATATCCAAGAGCAAGAAAACTTTGCATTGATCCTAATAGGTATTTAAAGTTCAGCCTTCTGATTGAAAAAACGAACAATTCAAGATATTGATTGAAAAAACGAACAATTCAAGATATTGATTGAAAAAACGAACAATTCAAGATCAGCAAACTCAATGTTTTTAACAATAAAAATGTTTTAAAATGTTAAACACCATTAAGTTTGCTGATCTTGAATTATGCTTAATTGATTTTCCTAGTTAGTTTTTTTCAATTAAAGGGGCTGAAATGTGCCTTAGAAACCTGATCATTCAAAAGGCTGAACTGTGCCTTTAAATACAAGGACAAAGGCACTACCTAGACTGGCACTGACAATTCAACACCAGGAATCAGTCATACTGAGGTTACATTACTACAAATTCAATAGACCTTTTAAAAAGTTTGCCTTATGATGTAGTTTGCAGATAAATACGATCATTTGGCCAATCAGGCAAACCAAATGTCTGTATGGGGTTTTCCTTTATCCACAAACTACGTCACAAGGCAAGACTTTTTAAAAAGGGCTATTCCTGCATTTCTCAAAAAATCATGATTTATGGAAATCATGATTTTTCATGGGAGAGGGTGTTGGTAATTTTAGGAGGTGCATACTAATGCATCTTTTTGTGTACCCTTGCATCCTCTGGGGCCGGTTGTACGAAAGGTGGATAAGTTATCCAGTGGATAAGTCCTATCCAATGGATAAATCTCCTATCCAATGGATAGCTATCTGCCGAATAAAAATGCGTTGTACAAAGCACAGATAGCAGGGTGGATAGCTATCCGTCGGATAACCTTAATTTTAACCGGAGAAAACCGGATTTTCCTGAAATTTCTTATCTCTACGTCAGCTGTTGCTAGGTATTTGTAAACTTTTGTTGTAGTATCTTCGTATAACTTGTGAATTCCACTAACCTT